CTACAAGGGAATACCCATACGACTGTCAGCTGATTTCTCAACAGAAACTTTGCAAGCCAGAAGGGAGTGGCAAGAAATATTCAAAGTGATGAATGCCAAGAACCTACAACCAAGATTACTTTACCCAGCAAAGCTCTCATTCAGAATTGAAGGTCAGATAAAGAGCTTCACAGATAAGAAAAAGCTAGAGGAATTCATCACCACCAAACCAGTATTATATGAAATGCTGAAAAGTATCCTTTAAGAAGAGGAAGAAGAAAAAGGTAAAGATAAAAATTATGAATAACAAATACATATCTATCAAAAGTGAGTCTAAAAATCAAGTGAATAAAAAATCTGATGAGCAGAATAAACTGGTGAATGTAAGAGAATCAGGGGCATAGATACGGAGTGGACTGACAATTCTCGGGGGAAAGGGGTATGCGGGTGCGGGAAGAGACTGGACAAAAATCGTATACCTAGGGATGAGGACAGTGGGGGTGGGGGTAAGCGCAGAGGGTGGGGTGGGAACCCGGGGGAAGGTGAGCTATGGAGGGAAAAAAGAAGAACAACTGTAATAATCCGAACAATAAAGATTTAAAAAAAGACTTCTGCTGCCAAAAAAAGCAGCAACAAATCTTGTAATTATCATTTTCCACATAATGCTTTGTAACTCCTCCCACCTAACCACAGGCAAGACTTCATTAATATGACCCTACTCTTAAGGGTTATTATTGTTCCACTTACCACCAGCAATGTGGTCTCTATTGCCTATAGTCAAGTAGACAATACAACTCCAAAATTCTACCTTGAGAATTTGCTTTTTAGGGCTAATCCTGGAATCCATTTTCATAGCCTCAGTTCCCTAGAAAAGACAGAGCCTGAGGTAAAGCTTTTGTGCTAGTATTTTAATGAAAACTACAATCCCAAGGAAGCAAGAATGAGGGAAAAAGAGAAGTCAGTCAGGAAAGGAGAGAAGGCAAATACTAAGCTGACCACAGCTTTATAAGGCACATAATGAATTAATTGCCCAATGTCATGGGAACTCTCTAGAAAGGCCATCTGGAGATATTGTGTCTTGAAATCATCTGCTAGGGAGAAAAAGGATGGACAATTTATCTGCTGACTCCTTCTTGTTTCCCATCTCTCTTTGTTTAAGTTTGCTCCATACAGCATCAATACCCCTGTACTTCCACATTCCCTCTGGACATCCACTGGTTCCAGATGGAATAGGCAAGGCCCTAGAGATACTGTGACAAATAGCCAAGAACCATGGAACCTGTGGGGTTGAATGGATTGAAAAAAGCACATAAGCTAGGTCTGGTATAGCCATAGCACAAAGAGGGTGGGGTTGGGGTTAGGGATATCTCACAATTAGAGCCATGTAAACTTAGTATGAAAACTGTCAAAGAGAACTTTGACACCAGTTAAAATTCTAGCCAGACACTAAAGGCAGTAAAAACAGATTTACTCACTAACTACTGCAGCAGGAAAGAGAGTCCAGTGTAAACCAAGATCAACTTTGATTCATGTAGAGGTGATGGGTGTCCTAAAGGAAGAATATGGGATTAGAAAGAGAGAATAAGTAGGAGTTTAACAGAATTAAGGAAGTAAAAATTACAAAAAGCACGTAGGGAGTTTGGTCAATGTGATTAGGCCATTTGAGTTTTCCTACTGGTATTTATCAAAGTTAGGCTCATGCCCTCGCATAGACACTGGGAGACAGGTGTTAACTGAAACAAATACTAGATTGTTTTGGCAGATTTGAGATTTCCCAGGAGGGAAGTTAATGGGTGCTTGATCATCCCAAATATACGGGTTTGAGCTGTTAGAAATCATGCTAGAGCTTATTCAAGTCTTTTGGGGTGGGCAGGGGTTTGAGGGTGGGAGCAGGAGTTTAATAAAATTGTGCTGAGAATCTGCAATCTCTATAGGTCAAGGCTGAGGCCTAGTCAAATAGAGGGCTCAAAGGAGCCTGCATTTGATCAAGAAAATAGTCTTTGTGAGTACATCTATGAACTAAGGACTCTGGTATCTAATACATATCTCTGACATTGCAAATCTGGATATTCCCTTCCTGACATCCATTAACTCCAGCAAGCTAGCCCTTGCTCTCTAGGCTAACTCAATGTCCCAGGGTCCTAAGTTGGCAAGGGAGTTCACAAACATTCACCCGAGTAAGAAATCATCTTCCTTTGCAGCTGGGTACCATTCCCTCAACCCTGACAAAACAGCAAGAAAACCTGATAAATATCCCCTCACCTCAACTCTTCTTGCCAAGACACTGGGTAGCTATACTACAATTTAGTAAAGATTAATTAAGTCCTTAAACCTTTAAAGGTGTTAATAAATTAACTCTGATTTTCTATTATGCAAAAAAAAAATGAATACAGCTTATGCTGCTGCCGTTCTTTAGGAAATATGGGCATTACCTCCTACTTATTAAAAATTCAGGTTTTAGTACCATTGACTTACTAGAAACATGATCTTTAAAGAATAAATTCCTCCATTTACCTGTCTGTGAGTTTATTTTAATTCAACTTTATGGCAAAGTGACTTGCATAAAAACTAAGGAGAGCTTGCCCCTCTGAAATTGTTTAATATATAGTCAAGAACCTGAGTTACCTCCAAATCCTATCCAACTCTGTGCTACTTGGTGTGCTTCAGAGGATCTGCCACCTATTGCTAAGATGTATTCAAACTTTTCAAACATCTAGCTTCAATTTATTAAAGAAATCTGATTATTAGATTGTCAAAATCTCTATTGTAGAAAAGCGGTACTAAGAGAATTCTTTTTGAGAGAGAGAATTCTTTTCCTAAGAGTCATTTTTCTAAAAATAATAGGTTGAATCAAAGAGGGAAAATGACCTGTATGGGTTATTCTGCTATCTTAAACAAATTTTGTTAGAAGATTGTGGACAAATGAGAATCATAGAATCTCATCCTTGAGTTAAATATTTTTACTGAGCCCTGCATAAGAAATGTTTGGTTAATACTTTGCAGATTCTTACAACATGTCACAGATCAGAACCTATTAGAATGGTGTATCAAGAATCTGCATTTTTTTGCCGTGGACGGTTTGGCTCAGTGGATAGAGTATCAGCCTGTGGTCTGAAGGGTCCCAGGTTCGATTCCGGCCAAGGGCACATGCCTGGGTTGTGGGCTCGATCCCCAGTAGGGGTGTGCAGGAGGCAGCCGATCAATGATTCTCTCTTTTAGCTCTTTATTTTGACTGTTTAAAATATACACAAGGTATATTTCAACAAATGAAAAAAAATCCAATAGGTCTCATTCTTTCCTATCATCTCATTCACATGTCATTCCAGTCTCTTTATTAAAGATATTAAAACACTGTGAGCCTTTGTTGGCTCACTCTCCGCCCCCTCACCTGCCTCACCTCAGGGATTGGTATCCCATCCCCTCCTGCATTTGTCCATGCTACAATATCTTCTTTGTTGTCACATAACTCCACAACCACCCCTACATAGTGGGGGTTTGGTTCACTTCACTCTTGATGGCCTTGAGAATTCTAGGATCATCATCCTCCCCTTCACTAAAACCCTGTGGTTCTAGTTACATTGGCCTCAGGAAGAAGCGAGGTGATAAAGCTGCTCTTCCATTTACTGCCTTTTCTCTTGATTCCCTGCCCACTGATCCCACAACACCACTAATATAAGGCTACAGAATGGCTACTAGGCTTTTCTGGAGAATTGTGAGAGACATAAAGTGAATTACAATGTAAGAAAAGACATAGAAATGGATGTTAAAGGTCCAAAGGAACAGAAATAAGGGACCCCTTGGGAGAGCACCACAGTTCCTAGACTTGTTTCTACCACCCTCCTTCAAAGTTTACTTTGCCCCAGAGAGCTCTTCCTTTTTTATTCACAGTGAAATGCTAATCCTGCTTTAGAAATATCCTACTCCCTAACATAGGAGGTAATGTACTAGTCTTAGGCTTTATGTTCCACCCAGAGCAATTAATCTGAAACTGAACATTTCCCCATATCTGCATTTATATCTACAATAATAACACTCTGGATCTTCAGCAAAATTTTGAGACTCAAAGCAGTATACCCTTTCATGAAACCTTTGCTGTTTTAGAGGAAAGCTATGCCTCCTCACTCCTCCTAGGGAAATCTAGCAGAAAATGCACATGTACATACACATTCACCACATGTGCTCACAGAGCATATGCACACACATGGTCACACATATGCATACACACACTACCATAACTTTAAAAAAAAAACTACCAACTTCTCATCAATATCTTTAATGACAGAACCTGCAGAAGCTTTTAAATTTAGCTTTTCCTTACTTTTGACCAGATCAAATTCTTATTGGGCTTTCTCCCTAATTGATCTCTGAAAGAGGAGGAGGAAGAACAGAAAGCTTTTTATTTCTCTATATAGATCAACCCTGAGGCCAAGGGTAGGATTTATGTTTTCATTAATATAATTAATAGATATTAAAAATTACTTTTTCTAAGAAGGGCATCTATATAATTATGTGAGTATAGACATATACTAGTACAAACATTTATTATACACACAGTAAAATGTACTATCTACATAAGTGTATAGTTCACTATTTTTACATATATAAACTCTCCTGTGGCCACCATTCAAATCATAATATAGAATGCTAGAGGCCCGGTGCACAAAATTCATGCACTGGGGGGCGGGGAGTCCCTCAGCCCAGCCTGCGTCCTCTCACAGTCCAGGACATCCCTCTCGCAGTCTAGGGCTCTTGCAGTCCAGGACCCCTCGCTCCTTACCGCCCGCCTGCAGCAGAGTCAGGAGAGACTACCGCCACCGCCACTGCGCTCATCAGCCGTGAACCCAGCTTCTGGCTGAGCAGTGCTCCCCTGTGGGAGTGCACTGACCACCAGGGGGCAGCTCCTGCGTTGATCATCTGCCCCCTGGTGGTCAGTGTGCATCGTAACAACCGGTCGTTCTGCCTTTTGTTCTATTTGCATATTAGGGTTTTATTATATAGGATCACTATCACCCAAAAGTTTCATTTTTTGCTTTCCCTAGTCAGCATCACCAATTTCCCCACTCCCCAAAGTTTTGACTTCTAACACTATGGATTAAATTTGCATCTTCTTGAATTTTACATAAAGGGAATCATACTGTATGTAGTTTTTGTGCCTGGTTTTATTTACTCAGCATAATTTTTTGGGGATTCACTCATGTGGCATTATTAGTAATTCATTCTTTGTTATCACTATGTAGTATTCCATGGTATGAATATACTGCAAACTGCTCATCCATTTTCCTATTTATAGACATCTTAGTGGTTTCCAATTTGGAGCTATTATAACTGAAGCCAATATGAACATTCTTGTACATACTTCATTGGATATATGCACTAATTTATATTGCATATATATATATATATATGTATATGTGTGTGTGTGTGTGTGTGTGTGTCTATATATATATATAGAATTGCTCCTAGGGTAGTAGGTATGTAAAAACTGCCCAGGTTTCCAATTTGGTTGAATCAATTTGCACTCCCACCAGCGATATACGAAAGTCTCACTTGCTCTATATTCTTGTTAACACATGATATTGTCAGTCTTTTTATCTTTATTAATTCTACTGTAATTTGTGATAAGTTTTAAGAAACTAAATATTATTGTGATAGTCCTAAAAGTAATTTTTATTGCTATGGATTTAAAACAAACAAAACAATCATTCCTACTGTCTTTCAGATAGTACCATGATATATTCTGAGGGGGTCACTCAAGAAAGTATAGCAATTCTATATATATATATAGACACACACACACACACATACACATACATATATATGTATATATATATATGTATATATATATATATATGCAAAGTGTATAGTTTTGGCTTAGCTTGGATTAGATAAAATGATTCTGGGTCACAAATTTGAGGTAAATGAAAGTTTACCAGCATCAACTGGTCATGTGACAAAAACATCCAGTCTGAACCAGCAAATATTTGAAGCACACTTACAGAAATAACATGTGGTAGGACAAAGAGATTAGAAGATCAAGAGAAATACAATAATAAGATTACTAATGCCTTAAAAATTTACCATTGGGCAACCTATTACAACTAGGGTTAGTAGGAGATTGTGTTTTAAATTAATTACAAAAATGGCCATAATTATTTCCCTGCCTTTGCAGCTCCTCCTGTTAAGAAGGGGAACTCATTTTCTCTCTCCTTAAATTTGGGCTAGCTTTGAAACTTTCTTTAGTCAATAAACTCTGGTGCCAATTCTGATCCTAGGCCACTGACTCTCTTAGAACCCTGCACATCCACCATGTGAACAAGTCCAAGCTAGACCCATATGGAACAGAGACAAATCATCTAAGGCAGTGGTTCTCAACCTTCTGGCCCTTTAAATACAGTTCCTCATGTTGTGACCCAACCATAAAATTATTTTCGTTGCTACTTCATAACTGTAATGTTGCTACTGTTCTGAATTGTAATGTAAATATCTGATATGCAGGATGGTCTTAGGCGACACCTGTGAAAGGGTTGTTCGACCGCCAAAGGGGTCGCA